TTCCCTTTCATTTCTGTCTTTAAATTTATTTGAAGTGAATGTTATAAATATTATACAAATTGGAATGTTATATACATGCTAGGTCATGTATGCATAATGGAATGAATTTGTGTATACACTATACAAAGATTTCGAAAAGTATTTTACAAAATACAGATTATAAAATATGAAGGTTAAACATACTGGGTGGAAATGTTACACATTGAACAAAATATTATAGAAAAGTTAAAGAGAGTTGGGAGAAGCACATCATAAGTTAATATTACATCATGAAACTGCATAATGTGAGTCTATACAATTGTTTGATAACTACAAAGCCAACAAATAATGGATTGTCCGTCTGTTAGATATCTGCAAGTTCATGTACAAAATTTATACTACAAACAAGATTATGTATACATAATACATTCTTACTATGTTGGCTTTTGAATTATGGATAATTTTGTTGCTAATAATATTAGTTAATGAAGGCTACCAGAGTAAATATTATTGTACCTCTGTCCTCATCAACAGAATGTCCGACTCCTTGGTGTTGGTGCCTTATCTACATGCAAATTTTCAGCATCTTCATGGACTCAAAAATTCTGATCCACAACAACAAATTGACTTATTTAGGGAATTGAATACAAATCACGAAAGACTACAAACTACCAGTAGCGAGGCCAAACTCTCCTAAAAACAACATTCCTATCACGATACAATTCATATAAACAAGTACGAAGTTCAAAGATTTGAATGAGTTGGCATACATAAACCCAAGGCCGTATGAAAAAGCTTCTCGTTGGGTCTAACTATGTTCTATCCCTTACCTGCCTTCCCCAGTTCGCCTGTATTAATAATCAATAAGGATACGACATCTAATAAAAATAATACCTTTATTAAGATAAGTGAATGCTATTACTAGAAATAGCAGACTAACATAATTCATTACATCACGTTTATTATCATGGGACTAAACTGAGAAGAACGCTAAGGAAATAACTTAATGGGTACAAGGGGGAAGGTTTACCTGCCAATATGAACAAATAATCTAATTTATGAGCTGTTTTTGAAGTTGGACATAATTCTTGTAGTCTTCCACTAGTTGCTGAAGAAGCAAAGGAACAAGTCTATCCACTAGATCTTGCATCATTCTGCAGACTAACAATTGCATTGTATGATATTACATGGAAATATTGGCGAGTAAAAAATATGAAAATCCCTCATCCTACATTAATTGCAATTTATCTTAATGAAAAAACAACCCGAGGTACGAGATTAAGTTTCTGTGCAACTACGCGATGCAACTTAATCAAGCATACTAAACATTCTTCAATATATATACATATTAAATGAAGATACTAATTGATAAAATTGATAAAATTTATTAAAGTTCCCCTCAAATGTTTACATACCAAAAAATCAATCGCAACAACATTAATATAGGTTAGAAATTCAATTAACAATTACATAGATTGGCAATGCAAATAATAACATTGCAGGAACCCGGTTAAAATTAGTTTCAAATACAATAACCCTAACAAACAAGCACCTAAATCAATTCAGCTACTCATATACAAAGAGAATAATTAAAGACAAGCAATTTTGATTATACATCCACTATGCTAAACCACTTAAAAAGTAAGACATTATGATCTAACAAGATGATCACAGATAACAAGTCTATAAACAGCAACTCCCTATCTAAAATGCTTTTTCATTTTTCATTTGAAAGCATAATCAATTTCCTTACTCTTTTCTTTTCATTAATACGAGAATACTTTCGCTAATTCAAACTCACTTACATCATATAAATACTACCCCCTGACAAATTGACCATACAATAAAACCATGTGTCTTTTATAAAGAAAAGCCCTAATTCACAACCACATTCTGACAACCAAGACCAAGGGCTTCAATATACAAAATTCACAACATTTCTCTTCCACTAATTAAAAAGAACCAAAATTTATCCAAACCAAGAACACAAACACTCACTCTTTCATGATGAGTTTTAGTTTCTAGGGTGTAATTCCAGTGTCAGGAAAAAAACATAGTAGAGCATAGCTAGCAATAGCAATTAGAACTCTTCCGAAAAGAAGGATTAAAATAGGGGGAAATGCAGCAAAACAGTAGCAAACTGAAACAAACACGATTGCAATAATGTGTAATTTCATTCTTTCGACACAATTAAGTGATGAAAACATGCAAAACTCACAACTATAAATGAAGAAAATCAAGCAACGTAGAGGATCAAATTATACGTGAAATTTATATCTTAAAAAAGAGAGAAGTAAAACAAATTACATGTAATGAAGTTTGAAGCATTGACCTGATTCTGATTCTTAAAAAAATTAGCAAACAATACATCAAGAAACGGAATAATCAAATGACAATAAAGAGTAATCATACAACCATTACCATACAGCAATGTCGTGCATTTTGTGTTTTCTATTCCAATCTTCCTCTATATCCTCTTTCTTGTTTTATTTTTCTTTACCCCAAATCAAAACCCTCGATTTCAAAACCTACCGAATTCCCTTCCTTCGATTATTAAGCCAATCCTATTTTTCTGAACCCAAACTCCGTCTTCTGTTTCCCAAGGTAAAGTTTCTCTCATTGTTGGGAAAATAAATGAAAGGGAGTGGAGAAGAAATCTTACCAGGAGTATAGACGAAGAAAATGACGAATTTTTCGCAGAGGCAATCTCACGGGGAGAAGAAGATATCGCAGAGGCAAGCTCACGGGGAAGAGAAGGGTATTTTAGCCCTTAAGTACGGGAATAAAAATATACCTAAGCTATATGTGGGAATAACATTCCCAGGAATAAAAACAAAAAAATTTACTGTTGGTAATGGGATATTACCCTCACTTGGGAATCTTACCCATCCAAACATGGATATATTAATCAAGAAAAAAATATTCCTGGTGGGAATGATAAATACCTTGATCCAAACGGGCCCTTACACCCATTCACTCTTTTCTTCACTCACCACTCCCACGACGACCGACCATCTCCCCTAAGGCTTCCAACGTCGGCCGCAATAAAAAGGAGGTCGTTCCCGCTCTTAACTCTGACCGAATACGGTCGAAAACTACCCAAACACCCTTAAACTCTCCATCTCCCCCTCTTCTTTCATCTTCTTTGACCGATAAAAATAAAGAACCACCATACGCGATGGCTCTTCAACCCTAAACCAAAACCAACTATCTCCTCTCCTCTCCTCTCCAATGACCTTGTTATTCCGACGAGCACGCCGACACCAAGGTAAACCAAACTCACTATTCTCTACTTATTTTCTTAAAAAAAACTGTAAAATTCGTATGAAAAACAAAGAACGAGCACTACATAAAAAATTCCATTTTTAGTTGTATTTCAAGAATTTAAATAAACAGAGAATGAAAAAATTAGGATACCTCTTTTGCTCGTGAAATTTTTTTTTCTGTTTTTTTATTGCTGTGAAAAATCTCCTCCTGTTACATTGTTTGCTTTTGGGTTATATACCCTTACATAAGAAAACCAAAAATCAAATGCTTGGTTCATTTCTCTTGATTGATCGTTCAGTGGTGCCAGAGTAAAGTCACGGTTTGGTGACATGGTGTTGTAGGGCATGATGGGATTTGTTGATGGAAGAGAGGTATGGCACGAGTATGGCAACAATAGAAACTAGTTTGGACCGGGTCGGGTCTCTCTTTAGGTCGGATCCGAGTCGAATCTGATGGGTTTGTTGGTTTTTAGGGTTTGAGTTTGATTTATAACTTGGGCTGGTTTGGGTCTTAAAGAGGTTTGGATTATGAAAAATGATGATTACAACCCCATAAATATCTAGACGGTTGTTCACACCATTTTATTGTGCCAACAAAACTACCATCATCTTTTTTTTTTTGGTATAATAAAAAATAATAAACTACAACTTCAAGGTGACTTCTCCTCATAATAATCAGAGTTATTTTAGAGTATTTATATATATATAAAAAATAATTAGTATTGTGATATTATAATTAATTACATTTATGCTTAAATAAAAACTCAAATAAATCTATTAGATTCAAATGAAATTTTATATACTCAATTCAATTCAAAATAATCTTAATCAAAATTAGACGATAAAATAATATTAAAAAAAGAATTAATTAAATTTCTTTTCTACTCGATTCGACTTCATCTTATACTCATTTCTAACCACGAACAAATTCCAGCCCAACAATCAAACAAATTTCCACCGCTAGTTCGACCAATGCTTCCACCATTTCACCTTCCCTTTCCATTTTTCACCACAATTTCCTTCTATGGTTTGATTATTCCATTTGCAAATTTGTTTCTACTTTCTAGTTTTGCAATATAAACTAGAAAGCCTCCCCCACCCACCTTATGTGATGGCGATTGGCGGCCGTATATCCCTATTAAGAAGAGACAAAACTTTGTTACTTCAATTTCAAAATTCATGGTTGTGGAAGCTTAGATGTCATGTCGTAGCTCCAAGATATTTTCCTAAAAAACATTAAATAATCACAAAATATCTTTCCTCTACTCCATGTTCAACAAATACCAACTCTACTAGGAAGACTAAAGACATGATTCGTAGTTTGAACATCAACACGAACACAAATTAGCCAAGTAAAACGATGACATATATATTTCTCTCCTGATTTCAATCGCCGTCCTTTGTTTTACCAAATATTTCACACGTAATGACCCATACTATTTTTTTAAATAGGGTCATACTAATTTTGTTGAAATAAATTAAGATGTTTATAACATAATATTTTTCAAAGTAACTTTTGCATTAACTGTTTAAATTCATTTTTTTAAATAACACTCCCTTTAACAAAAAAATTACTCAATAGATTCAACTTAACTATCAATATTTTAATTTAATATGATTAAAAAATATTAAATTGTTAAATAATGTGAGAAACGTATAGATATTATTTTTATTTATATATAAAAAAAATTATATATAGAGGTTTTGTTGGAAGTGATGGATAAGTTGCTATGCAAGCAATAGGCACAAGGCAAGCTCAGCATTACTTTTTCTTTAAAGATACAAATTCACTCTACAAATACAATGAAGTTGGCTGCCTACTACTTGATGCCTGTGAATCCATCATCCATGTTCTATGCACATTTAGTTTCATAATTCGTTTCAAATAAATTATAAAAATTCATAGTATAAGATAACCAACTGGGGGAAAAGAATAAGACGACAACACTACAAACAAACCGTTGGTTTGAGAAGATATCCAATAAACATGACTTATATAGTAAAAAATCAGATTACGAAATCTCACCCAGATATCAAACTAGTAAAATTCTTAGGTAATCAAACCACACACAAACTAACTATCAAATGAGGGTTAAGAAATCCCATCAAAGAGAATCATGGACTATAGTTAAGAATCTTAACAGGTTAGATCATCAGATATCTCAAGGCCGAACCAACTCAATCAAACAGCCAGGCATTTACTATTACTAACAGGTTTAAGATGTTTTACTGGATTTTTCGAGGCTCTAATGACTATGCACTCGCCGTGTCTATCGAATCACACGAATCGGACTGCAAATGAACGGCATCGTCCTGTTTGATCAACTGTTCTTTTGGCATCCTTATAGAATCAACTGAAACGGCCTCGTCGATGGATTCATCCTCCGCTCTGCACGGAGTCGACAAAACAGTACGGTAACCGTACCTCCGTTTAGGATATAACGGATCCAGTTCGTCCTGCAAATAAAAATGACAAATAAATAAATAAAACGGAAAAAATGACAAATAAATAAATAAAACGGAGAAAAATATTAAACAACGCATGGAAGAAAAATAAGAAGAGAATCTAAAATGAAATAACAAAGAGAAAAACCAACCTGATAACGAAGATCTGGAAAATTTTCTCTTGACCTTTTCAACGGAAACAAATTTGTAGATTTACAGACCTCTCTGCCGCCATCAGAATATTCTTCGCTAGTAGATGAACTTGAAGCAGGCGGAGGAGTATTTGAAGCTGTGGACGACAGCACCACCTGATTATCTCCGTCCTCCTCCGCATCGTCATCATAAACAACTCTTTCATCTTCTTCAATTTCCGGTTCGCTGCCCTCTCGATCGCCGCCGTTGACGCACCTCTCACAGACGGAGACCGTGTGACCGAGCTTAGAACCTGCGGCCCTCCACGGCGTGAGAGAGTGGCAGGCGTGGCAGATAAGACACCTCACGTGCCGCGCTACGAGGAAGTTGGCTCCGTGCACTTTGGCATCACAGCCCCAGCACAAACTTGCTAGGTCCGACTCACAATACGTACTTGCCGCCAAATCGCAGAGCTCACAGCTCTTCATTTCCCTCCTTTCTACCAAAATCAGAGAGAGATGCTTCGGCTTGGCTATCAGCCGGTTTCTTCTTCTTTCGTTTTCTGAGAGAATTTTTTTGACAATAATTTTTCTCTTTCTCGTATATATGCAGAGAATGGACGATTGGAAAGGAAGAGAAAGGAAACATCAACTGCAGTGGCTTATAGAAACAGCCCTCTTGTTGTTTTAAATTACAAATACGCCATTATAATACTTCCAGTTAACCAACCAAGCTGGCAGTACCTCCACCACTTACATACTATTTTGTCTACAGAATACTAGAACAATTTAATTGATTTTTTGTTTTATACATAAATACCGTTTTCACCCTTGCACATTCATTTTAACTAATATTTTTCACATACTTCACATTATTTAAGTTCATAAATTTGAATAAAATTAAAAAAATAATATCTATAATAATCTAATTAAGAATTTTCAATCTTTTCACATTGTTTTCCATTTTCTTACGTGATAATTTTTATTAAGAAAAGAAAGTATAAATTCTGTTATTTTTATGGTAAATTATACATTTAGTATTGAAACTATTACTTTTATTCCATTTTAGTTTTTAAACTTTATTTCTTTTTAGAATTATATCTAATATTTACTTTAGATTTTATATTAGTACTCAATGATCATGTTGACGTGTCATCATAATATAATGTTACATCATCATTTGAAAAATAAAAAAAATTGTACAATAAGCCATTTTAGTTTGGATATAAAAGAATAAAATTTAGGTATCGAAATAGAATAAAATAATAATTTAAATACTAAAGGTTTAGTTTACCCTATTTTTTATTTAAATAAACGGGTCTAATATTTAATAATTAAAATTTCAAATAAAAATAGGGGTAAAATTGTGATTTCGAGAAGCCTACAGAAAGAGTAAGTAATAGCAGAAAGGGAAGTGATGGGTAAAAGGGCGGGGGGATGTGGTGGGAAGACGAGCCACATGTTGAAATGGCGTATAAATGTATTGTTTATATATATGGCATTAAATTAGTGCCCCCCCCCCCCTCTTACCTTCTGCTTCGGCCTTTGGCTCATTTCCTCGGTTTCGTTGGAACAATAATGAAGATATTTTTTTTCTTATTAAGTAGTGGCTTATTTGCTCTGCTCTCCTTTCCTTGTGTGGCCATGTGTCGTTAGTTGATCGTCGAGATTCAGATTCTCTTCCTCGTTGCAGGGCCAAGGATTAGCCACGTGGCTTGGTCTTGATTCGGGTCGATTGCGTGTATGGCTGGCGACGTGTTATCTCGTTGTCTTCTCTCCATTTGCTGCTTCCTATTTATCTCTTAAATCTGAATGATCAGTGGCCGAGGGAGAAACATATCTTAATAACCGCAAAGATTGCGCTGCACTCACTCGCCCCTGATCCTAAAACTCTCCCCCTAAGATTTCATTCTCTATCTTCCATTTTTATTTTTATTTTGACATTAGCTATCTTCCATTCTTAATTTAAAGAAAGTTTATCTGAAATCCTAAAATTAATAGGAATTTAAATGATTTATCGAATGACATTTCATAGTGAATAGTAAGCTTTGATAATTTATCGATTATGGTACGTATTGCTTTGGTTCATAATCACATTGATTTATCGGTGTTGGAGATAACATTCCGATTAATTCTAATTTATGTCTCATTATTATAAAAAATGAGACAAATAATCGAATATTGTGTTATGATAAGCTTTTAAGATATAACTAGATATTAATATACTAAAAGAACTTAATAATTTGGCGAGATAAAACAAAGAAAGTGGAAAAAAAATGCTAATATGTGTTATATAAGCGAAAATGGTGAGTTTTTTTTCCCTAGAGAAAAGATATCAAATAAATATAAAAGCAAAAGAAAAATATGACTAATGAGACAAAGAAAGAAAAAGAGGGTATAGGAAATTTATGTAGAAAAAGAGAAAAAAATGAAATTAGATTTCTTCATTTCTTTATCGGTATAAAGGCATAAGGGAAAATGACTTACTAAAAATAAATTACTTTTATGCGTAAATTCTATTTTTTTACTGAACTTTAGTCTCTTTCTTATTTTATTAACTGAACTTTAAAACATTTCAATTTAATCATTCAATATTTGAATTGTTCCTGTTTTGGTCATTATAATGTTAAATAATTAACGACGTATGATAAAATAACCAACACCAAAATGACATAGTTTTGGATCTCTGTAAAAAAAAATTTAGACCAAAACGAACTCAAATTCCAATCACCTTGCCGGCCGCCATTTTGACCATCGTCGACCACCATCCTTGGAGACCAATAATTCCCAAAATTTCCCACCGAATGCATCTCGTCGTTCTAAACACAAAATTGATGTTCTTTAGGCTGAAACTCCCCAAAATCAATGGATATAGTGTTGATATTATTACCACCGTACACTATCATACTTCTCTCATTTTTTCCTCTCATTTTTTAAATCTTTAAGTTCAGAACTTCATGAAACTAAATCAAAAGCCACAAGAATTAAAATCGAAACTCCAACCAAATAATTTTGATTTGAGCTCTTTTATCCCAGAACCAACGGTTGCACTCATTCCTTATAAAACCTATTGCAACATGCAAGTTTCTTTAGTTTAATTTTATAAAAATTGATCTATCTTGGAACCCAACTAACCTGAAACACCCATATACCACTCTTACTACTTGAAGCAACCATTACATTTGCATTAACATTAGGAAGATTATTGCAATTTTGCAAACATCCTGAAGTGGTCCAACATTATGCAACCATATTACCACTCCAGAATCGAATCAAGTTGTCATCACCTATCAACTAAGAAATGTTCTCCAGATGGATCTTCTCAACAACCGATCACTTGGTAGAGTTTTTTTTTTTTGCTTATTGGCTTCTAGTTTTTATTCATATTTTGGTATTGTGTGGTTGTTGAAATTTAATTTTTGAATATTATTTAGATTTTATGATCTTGTTGAAGGTTTTACGATTGGAGAAAAAATTGAGTTGAACGATGGCGGTAGAGATTGAACGCGTGAAAGTCATAATCGGGTCGTCTTTCACTTCAATGGGGGTGTGGAACAGAAAAAAAAATAAAAAAATAAAATTAATAAAATATTTATTGGTGCCTACATTATAACCCCAATACCTTTTCTAGACGTTACGGTTGAATCTCGACGGTCACATGTCATATTCAGAAATCATTTACATATTCAAAACGTAATTGAAATTCATTTAGTGAATAATATATATATATATATATATAGATATATATATATTATATATATATATATATATATATATATATATATATATATATATATATATATATATATAACGATAAAAATACAGAAAATATCAAATGGTAAGGTTCATATGGTAAACATAGACATATACTAACATTAGAAGTCTGTATAAAAACATGTTTAGAACAAAATATCGATAATACATATACATATAGACAATAATAAAAAAGCATGTCACCAAAATATAATAGAAAAAGACATATAAAGATATAAAATATGTATAATAAGGGGATTAGTCGATCCTCCTGATGCCAAGTCTGCTAGCCTACTATTTGGTAATATCTTAAGAGTGAAAAAAAATTAAAGAGTGGGCTAAAAAGCCAGTAGCATAGCGAATCAATCTGATGAACTCAATCACGTAATCTGTAACAGACATGTCACCCTACTACAAATTCTAAAACCCCTAAAGTCACTCCTATAGGTGTCTCTCTCTGATGTACTGACTCAAAAGACACTCCTTAAAAAGTTCCTAAGTCAACTGATTTGTCGAAATACTTCTGAAAATCGAATGCCCTCTTTTAGCACGACTAGTGCTCCTTTTAACTTCTACTCAGGCATCAACTCCATATCGTCCATAATCCTCTCAGTGTTCTCTAACTAATACTTAATATTAGTCGAAGGTCCCCTAATGATACCTCAAATGGGGCTACCCCAACAGCCACTAAAGGCTTTGATATGTCGACATCAAACCTAGTATTGTAATATCTAGTCGCCTTGTAAAACATTCAAAAGATAGCTCTATTTATTCCATCCTCATCCATCTTAGTGTACTCATCCTTGATGACATGTAAGTTTCTCTCAAGTGTAACCAGATCTTCACAAGAAGTAAATGAATGGACACACGTAGTAGGGATCTAGAGCTAGCGTCAAAAGCGTCTATAAAGATAGAAAGTTGAGTCACTCGCTCACCCACGACCACGATCATAACCTGACCTATGACTTCGAGTACTCATCTAAACAACCTACTAGGCTTTATGAAGTTAGTATTATATAAAAAAATCTTAAATTTATTTAAAACTCGTAAAATAAAGTGACACATTGTTTGAAAAAATAAGAAAATATCCTTTGAAAATACAATATTTAGGACTCATTTACAGTCCGAGTGTTTTAAACCAAAAGCTCTGATACCACCAAATGTAACACCTTAGACCCAGCCTAGTCTTTACGACCAAATCTTGATGGCACATATCGTATTAAGAAATCCTTTCCATATTCAAAACGTAATTGAAATCCATTTCAATGAATAAAATACATATAATAGTAAAATTATAGAAAATATCCAATGATAAGGTTCATACGGTAAATATATACATATACTAACATAGAAAGTCCATATAAAAACATGTTCAGAACAAAATACCGGTAATACAAATATATAAAGATAATAATAAAAACGCGTGTCATCAAAATATAATAGAAAATGGAATATAAAGATATATAGTGGTACAAAAAGGAGAATAGTCAATCCTTCTAGTTTCTGGTCTGCTAGCATATTGTCTGGTACTATCTGAAGAGTTAAAAAAAATTAAAGATTGAGTTAAAAAATCAGTGTGCTCATTGTGGTGTATAAAAACATTCAGATAAATACTTCGGTAAAAATTAATTTATAAAACATGCTTTTAAAACATGAACATTACCCCATCCGAACACTATAATGTGTAGGTTCCCCTAAATCATACACCCATATGTACACCCGGTAAGGACTTTATAGCTTAAAGATATGCGATAAGGACTTACCCTGTGCACAAAACAGAGGAGTCTGTAGTAAGGTTTTACAAGTCATAGACTAAGCCTGAGATGCTTCCTTCAATAATACCCCTAATGACAATAAA